TGCTATACAAATAAACTTGCCTTGCCATTAACATATTTACTAATCCTACATTTTCTCCAATGACGTCTCATAAACTCAATGAAAGCACTACCCCAGACACAGCTATCCAGACACAAAGACGCATTTCCAACAGAGCCCACCACCACCAAAGCCCCCGCAGAAAAGACGATTATTAATAAATAATATAAAAAGGAAACAAAATACCACCGCGCAGAAGCTCAGAGGATTGTGAGAGAAACGCTAATCTGGCAAGAATGGCTGTTCGGCTGAATAATAAAAACAAAGGGACGGGACGGCACCAGCATTTGGAAACAAGAGAGACAAATAATTAAATATATACATGAGAAAAATGCAGAGTCGTTTGCGCACAATGTAGCGTTTATACAGATGGTTCAGAGGTGTCCAAACGCGACAAACAAGGATTTACATGTGTGATCGACAAAGCAGGTGTACGGAAATATTTTTATTCAGTCTATAGGGATTTTTATGAAACTACAAATACGAGAAGACATGGAGCCAATTACCTGAAGATTTTGTTTTAATAAATAATAATATATAAATACATATATAAACACAAAATGTTGACCATATCATTCTGTAGTATTTTTATAGTATTATTATTATAATGTTTTTTTTATAAAACATGTATTATAAAACAGTCCCCCCGCCTGGAATAAACATGACCAGTGAGATTTGCTGAAGTAGAATCCATGGACCAATGGTGAGAAGCCTGTGCTGTCTATCAAGGATTTGAATACATTGCGTCCAATCAGCTGTGGAGGCGGGTCTTACTGGCACTTGCATTTGAAAAACTCTCCATCTTCACAATTAAGTAATTTCACTTTAATTGAGCATTTTCCAAAGTAATTTAAAAAAAAGTAAGAACTCCATAATTACAATATAGTATAGAAACGGGTTTTATTGCATCAGATCATAATGAGGTATACCTTTGAGATTCTGCTGGACACAATGATTGGAAAAGTCCTCTTTACAACAAAGACGTATGAAAAAGTCCAATACAAAAGCCTTCTATCAGAATCAAAACCGTCCTGTTGCAAAAACGTCTTTTGTGATTGATTACATATCCCACATTGTATCTAGTTTGGCTAAAGCAAAATGAAAGCTGGAAGTGAATAGCGCACTTAAGATATATTCATAGCTGACCATGACCTTGTTGAATTTTTTATTTGTAAATCTATCAAGACACAAAGTTACCTCTGAATGGAATCTGTATCAGTCTGCCTTGATACAGACGCCTCATGAATCAGAGCCATCATCAGCGCATTAAAGATATTGAACAATAGGCAGCGCAGCACACGCCCCTCCACCCTCCACCATCTCCGCTCACACAAGCAGCAGCCGCCAACTTCATTTCAAAATCAATTAATTAAAAAGCACGGCCGTGTCCCACTGGGAGTGAAAGACAAATTTGAGGAATTTAATCCTGCTACACAAATCAGAGCTGTTGGGCTTGAGAGAGATCTACGAGCCAGGATGGACTGGGGAGTGGAAGACTGCCAATGCATTTTAAAGAGGCAACTTGATTTAAGACTCGAGCCCACACATAACTTTGTTTTCTACTTCCTCCGATCTATCTCCCAAAGTACGGGACCCGCTTCTGCCCTTGAGCGTACCGTGCCCAGTTTTTAGTGATCAATTGTATCCGTTGTTATTCATTTTGACAAGTGAGCAGCTTCAAAATATGAAGTTAACTTGGATGTCTTTCCTTCCTGCTGCTGTCAGACTGTACAACGAACAATGAGGGTTAACAAACACTGCCGACCTGACCTCACGTGTCATGCATCGGGGCAATATCTGTAACTAATGACATAGAATGCGCAATATGGACCACAAGTGTCACTTTACTTTACCCAACTGTGCAAACACAACTTTATTAATGTCAGAATGTGCAATAATAGAACCACATGTGTTGCGTCACTTTACTGAGTCACTTTGTCGTGCTGCTAACATGTACAGATGTAAACACACAACTATATATAACATGCACTAAAATACTACTTCCTTATTATGCTAAAGATAGAGTTTATACTACTCAGAGTTAGAGAGTTTGTATATTTATGTATGTTTATTTTGGTATAGAGTTATTCTTCATGTATTCTGCTATGTGTTACTCATTCCTACTGTCACTGTAACTTGTGATGCAACACTGGAATTTCCCCATAGTGAATAAAGGAGGTCTTAATCTTAATGTTGAACTGTTTTTTTGTATAAAACCAGCCTCTTTTTATGTAAGACTTAAGCTCTGGTTTTTCTCCCATCTGTATCCATCTCTGTACGTCTGTCTCTGGCCCGTCCTGCTGATCCTTTCAAACATCAGGGGAAAAAGCTCTCTCAGCAGTGGGGTGGACAGAAAGCCCTTTGTGTAATAGGCCCGGTGGGGAACACGGACACCCCCCTGTCTCCCCCCTGTCTATTTCCATTAAGTCTGCCATTTTGTGTGTGTGTGTGTGTGTGTGTGTGTGTGTGTGTGTGTGTGTGTGTGTGTGTGTGTGTTTTATTGATTCTTTGTATGTGTGGAGACATAAGGGGTTCATGGGAGAGCTCGCCACAGCTGGTCTACCCTCAAGCGAAAAAAAAAAAAAACATTCATAATAAAGAGTTTGCCTTTCCTTCCCTACTGGTGTTCTTTGAAAGATTTACCCAAAAAAGGTATGAAAAATATAGCAAAGATGAATGGTTCCATATGCCGCAAGTTGAGTGCGCTAAAAAAGGAGCTGAACTTGTTGCTTCGTCAAAAGAGGAACAGAGGAAAAGCACTTGTTTCTAGAGGCAGCTGAGATGGAAACAAAACCGAAATGCATTTAGTAAAATCTGGAGTATAGGGTCAAAAAGCTTATTTTTGTGATTAGAAAACGACAAATACTGCAATTATCCAGGTTCTTTGCAAACAAAAAGGGGCTAAACACAAGCAAAAATGACATTTCTTTGGATTTGAGAATGTGTTTTGTCAATTGAACAAGCAAGTATTTTTGTTGGACAGAATTAGTATTTTCTCATTCCTCTTTTTTTCACAATTTATATATTGAAATGCTTTGCGGGAGTCAGGTCTGAGGCTACATATTTAAAGCATTTTTTGTGGCGTTATTTTAATTATATCTACTTAGAGAAGAAAATGATTCGGAAAAAAAGTGTGGACATTGTGTATGAATTAATTACTTATGTACACTGTTTCAAATTTACTGTCAAATTTACTGTACAAAATGACAAAAATAAATCAGAAACATTGCAATTCATTTTTTTTTTTGCCTAAATGGTGCAGCCTTAATCTGGATTATGACGACATTAACTCACCTCGGAGTCCATTAGTGGTTTGAATAAATGAGAAAAGTCTAGAGAAATACGCATATGAAATTAAACTCTACATGTTTTACAGCTTTTCCTCCACGTGTCCAACGATAACATCCAATAACTGAAACAAATGCACTATAACAAGAGCTCAGTGTGTTGCCACGGGTTACAGGCTAGTATATTGCCCGGGAAAATACACACAAAAAAAAGCCTAAATGCCAGTGGAAGGGTGATTTCTGCTGCTCTGCACACAGCAACCTCTGAAAAACAAACCCACTGAAAAATGTCAACTTTGAAAGGACAAAAACACGTGAACTCTGCACAAGAACAGACGCCTACAATTTCAGACAGCAAAGAGGATTTTACAAGAAAATTTTTTTTTTATTATTATTATTATTTTACAGGTATTTTGCAGTCTCCCTGAGCTTGTGAGACAGACCTCGTCCCTGTTAATGTGTAAATCAGGCTGAAAACTGTCTTATTTAGCTATGCAAGCATTTCATTTTTGCTTTTTAAACATTTTTTACAGCATTTTTATAATTCACTAAGTTTCATAAATATTTGCACTGTTTTTTTTGTTTTATTGTCTTAACTGTTTGTGAACTACTGTGAGTTAAACTGAATGAATTGTGCTTTATTAATACATTTGATTGATTGATTATTATGATTACTATTATTATTTATTAGAGATGTGCGTATGTAGTTCAACTTGGAGTTCAGGTTTCTCTCTGTAAAAAAATAAATACAAAATTCTACCTAAATTATCATTATTGGAATTTAGGTTATTCATTTGTTTTTATGGATTGACATATTTTACATATAGAAAATTACACTTATTTGAAGACATTTCTATAGTTACACATGTTTAGATACAGACAGATACAGGAAGAGGACCGCCCACACTCAGCCAATCAGCTTTAAGCCCAGTGTAGTCTATGCAGAAGATAACATGTTTTCTGTTAATAATGAACACAGCATGATGTGGTCTGATTTTTCCCAAACATGTTCTGTTGCATAAAACATAATGGATTATTCTTAAAAAAAAAAAAAAAAAAAAACAGTTAAATACCCCCGCTTTAGAGTGGACCATGCAAGCTTTTATCACACCCAATCACAAGTCAGCCAATGAACAGGGATGTTTTATAGCACACTCAACTGCAGCCCTCACACATATAGGCAAGTTTATATGTATAGCACCGTTCATACACAAGAAACAGTCACAAAAGGCATTACAGTAATCTCAATTAATTATAAAGAGAAAAGATACAATCCCTCAGTTGTATGCACAGCTTAACACAACTGTTTTGAACCTGGATTTCAACATTGTCAGAGAAGAAGCCTGTCTCACATTTACAGGAATACTGTTAATTATCTGAAATGTAGGTTGTAACAAAGTCGAAAAACACACTAAAAAACCAGACCTAACGTTGAAGTCAATATAAATCTTCTAGAAATACTTAGGAGGACAGGCGAGTTGAGAAAGAGTGGAAAAAAGCTGACGAGTGGTTGTCAAAAAGCGACGGTGTAATTGACGGCTGCTTGGCGCTTATCTTGAACTCTCTTCGCGCTCTTGTCTGGGCATCCTGGCGTCCACTCCCCCCTCCTCAACCCCCACCACCCCCTTCTTTCCCACTATCTCTTTTCTCCTCGCTGTGAAGTGTGCAGACCAAACCTGGCACCCCATAAAACAACTATCTCTGCGTCTTTTCCCACAACCTGGCAACCCTCTGTCTATCTTCTCCCTTTGCTTTTATCTGGCCTCTGTCACGTCGCTTTGGCCTTATCCTGCCGAGTATCTCTCCCCCCCTGCCTCCGTGTCCGGCCCGGCTGTTCAAACACTGGAGCGTGCTGGACTGAAGGATGAGAAGGGGGGGAGAGGGGCCGGAGAAGGGGGTGAGGGGGTGGTCAGACAGACGGGCTGGGGTCCTGGGGCCAGACTGCAGCAGGACAGGGACTGATAAGGGCTAGACCTGGTGTTGCCACGCTATTAAAATTACAAAGGGACAACAGATTTATCGGTTTGCCAATCTAATCTGCCAATCAGTGGTCGGGCGAGAATTTACCGATTCTCAAAGAAGAGGTCCTGATGTCATCCAGCCAACTTCAGCTGTGCTATTATACACAAGAGCCATATATATTATCTCAGAGCTTGGAACCTCTGTGTTTTTAGGTCTGTGCTTTTTAGTGCCGCCGCAAATAAACTGTTAGCTGTTAGCGTTTGTTTGCTAGCGTTGTGAAATTGGTCGACAAATGGGTCATTGGGTACCGGATTCAAAAACCATACAAGAAACTCACTATCTGATACACATTTTGAGACCACAATTTTGTTATCCTTCATTCGTCAAGGACCAGAAGTGTTTTGTTCTGTGTTGATATTCAATTATTGCAAATTGATATATCAGGTTATTTTTTCTTTTTATGTGTATTTTTTTTCTCCGTTATCAAATTGCTTGTACACAATCTTTGCTCTACAAATGTTGATTGATTGAAAGCTTAACAATTTTTCATCATTGACACGTATCAGTTCAGTGTCCAGGAATCAATAGTAAGCGACAAAACCCTGTACTTGTATAGGTACCACCCGTTTTGATAATGATTCCAAACATGCACAATAAATCTGGCATCCGCCCCCTGTACTGGCAACCTCGCTTCCTGTCTCTCTTGTGGAGTGAGAGACAAATGCCCTCAACAATTCTAAAGCGCTTTGTGACTCTGGTCTGTGAAAGGCGCTGTATAAAAAAAATATTACTTACTTGACTGTAATTTAGTTTAATTCATTTACAACTGTCTCTCTCCTTTTGACAACCCAAGTCACCGAGCTTTACCATGTGGATTCTTGTATTTGGGTTATGCGGGGAACCTGTAGATGATGTATTAGCTTCATAACAAGACATCCGGCTCGGTTAAATTTGGAGCTGGCAGATCTGGGTCAGCGAGAACCGCAAGAAGGTCTAGGAGCAGTGAGCAGGAGCAGCGTGCAAGTAAGAGCAGGAGGTAAAGTTATTCCAGCCAGTTAAACTCATATCCTGGCAAAAAATTGTGACTTTTTGAATCTGGATCCTTTCAACCACTGTTACATAAAAGAGTAGATCAAACAGACGGTGTTATTACAAGCACTGCATGTTTCCGGATCGAGTGTTTAGGTCTGAGTGGAAGATGGATCTAAAATTAGCCGGTTAAATGTTGGTGCAAACTATTCTTAACAGAACTCCCATTTCTACTAATAATGCCATAAAAGATCAAACAGAACGCACGCTGTTCATAAACACAAAGGTCAACGCAACATGTGAGTCAATATAACTACTTTACTCATAACGCGCTTCACAAGTTGCAATGAGAATCAAAATACACACAAAAATACGTTTAAAAAATACAATACATTTCAGGTCAAACAGACTGTAGGCCACAAAAAGAGTCTTTAATGTGTTTTGAATGTAATCCCATGTAGAATTTGGATAATCGATTAGTTGGGTGATTATTATTTCGCTTAATAGCTTAGTTGTTGAGGTCCCTAAGGTCTGTGAATATGGGATTTTGTTCATAGAATCAACAAAAACAAAGCTCCAGCAATTTCCACGGAAAAATCTTCATAGAGATGACTTGTTACACATTGGGTTGTGTAACTTTAAAAGATTCAGATAAATGTTGTCAATTGCAGTAAAACCACATTGGAATACAAGTGCAAACATACCACAGTGTGCACCAGACAACTACATAAACAAAATAAGCTAAAAAGTACAGGGAAAATAGTTTGTAAACACATTATAATTACATTCTGCAGTCATTGTAGAATTGTAGAATTATTAAGTCCTCCTCAGCTTGTTTAAGTTTATGTAAGTTCGTGAGAGCCCTAATTTTCAACCAATAATGTATAAAGTTCAACCATGTCTGTCTTTTCTGAAGCTAGATCCAACATTAGTCCCTTCAATGTAGTTTATTCTTCCTATGACAGAGCTCCTTGCTGACTGGGTTAATCTACTAATGAAGTCTGTATATCATCTAACAACACATCCCCAGTTCATAAACAATAAGATAAAGGTCAATGCGACTTGTAATCCCATGTAATTCGTCCGTCGAGATATTGTCTGCAGCTTCCACACAACACACTTTCCATCTTTTGTCTGGAATCTCATTTCCATTCATTATTATACATCAAGTTGCTCTTATCCCCGGGAGCTCATCTCATCTTCAGCGGGTAATATGCACAGCAAGACAAGTAGGAGGCGAGGTGGCATCGACAACAACAGCAGGTTTAAGGAACGTGGGCTTCCGAACTGCTCCGATTGTGTTTGCCTTTCATTGGCGGCAGAAAGAGCCCTGTTTGACAAATCTTTGCATGCGACCTGGCAGCCTGCTGACAGGTTCTGGTGCATTTACGAGCGCTAAAGCGGTTCTGTTCTGGATGTGGAGACAAAATGTGTCGATTCAAGCTGCTGTCTTCAAAGAAACCAAATGGGTTGAGTTGGTATGGGGCCAAGCAGCGGGATTTCACTGCTTTAAGTTTTGGGGAAAATTTCACAAATCCTGCTGATTTTGCCGATTAATAGAAAAATCCATGTTGTTCAAAGAGAGACCGTTTTAATCCTCATCACATTTAGCAAAGCAGGCCTTCTGGAATGGAATTAAAAAGCTTATTTAAAAGAGAGGATCAACACGGGTTCACAATGTCATCCTTTACCTCTATAATTCAGGAGCTAGTGAGAAGATAAATGATCATTCAGGCAACTTCATCTTCACCAAACAAGAATCTAGCCATGGCGTAACCCTGGAATTCATTTCAATGGGTGGTCAAAACATGCACAGATTGACAGAAAAACAAACAAATCAGCAAACAGCAGACAATAGCTGTGTCAAGAAAGTTGTAGTCAAAAAAGTCTCCATGGAATTGATCGATAAATCGGTACTTGGTTTTGCAGAATCACAAAAATATTGGCGTCGCAATGGTCCCAAAATATATAAGTAGGTATGTGGCCAGGCAGCATGATTTAACTCGTTTAACTTTCGGGAAAAAAATTCAAATCCTGCAGATTTTTCCAATTAATGGAAATACCCTGTTGTTCAAAAGGGACCATTTTGTTGCTCATCACACTTGCCAAAAGGGCCCTGTGGAATTGAATTAAATAGCTTATTTAAAAGAGAGGATATTGAGTGTATCATGGATTTTTATGCTCGAGTTTATTACTGCCTCTAAATAAAATGTGTTTGTGCGAGAGTTTGTGAGAAAGACCAATGTGCAGGAGGTACATTTCCAATTAGAAGTGCCACCTTGTGTAAATGTCTGCATTATGCTGTAACAGAAGCTAGCAGTTAGCTTTGATTTCCTTACCGGCTGTGTAAGTGCAGGACAAACAGCAGGAAATAGGCTGCGTTACAAACAGGTTCTCTCTCAGGGCGGTCAGGGCGAGCCGTGTGGGGGCCCAGTGTGGATAAGCCTTGCCCTCAGCGGGGCCCTCCTGTACAGGGGCCATTAGTCCAGTTTAGCTCCTTCCTGGATCCGCTGCACCTCACAAACCAATGAGCCACAGGGCAACTTTTTATTGTTCTCCCAGAGTTTGTGTGAGTATGAGCTGGTGGAGGGGGCTGTGTTACTGTATGTGTGCTCAAGCTGCGCACTCGCGGCACTTCCTGCCCACTAACGGCCGGTCCCACGGTAGGGAGGTCGAGCTCCAGTGGTCCAGAACAATGCCCGAAAAGGCTGTCATAAAAACAAACTAGCATGCTCTGGTTAGCACCGGATGAGGTGGCAAAGGCCCTGAACTGTCCCCCCACGCACAAGTTCAGGAGCTGCGTACTGCTGCTCTCAGACATATAGTTATTATGGCCGAATATGCAATAGCTGAAAACGCACAGCTTTTCCCTTTTCACAAACACACTGCCAGTTAAAACTAACAATGGAAACCTCTGTAGACCTGGCCCGAACAGCTTTGACGTGTCACCAACCCCACAGCAACAAAAGCTTTTAGAGGTGCGCGCGACACAACACAGAACAGAGCGCATGAATGAGCCACAAAACATCTGCTGAGCTAACAAACATCCAGCCAGGGGCCTCCAGCAACAGCTAAATACCTACAGTGTGGCCCCCAACACACTTGGCTCAATGTCAAGGCTTTTGGCTCAGAAAAGCATCAATCCCCAATACAACTTCAACCAGCACGCCATAAATCAGGAAACGGGAGAACAAGGAAAAATTAGTCCAGCTGCTCGTCGGGGCGGGAATTACAGGATAACTACCATAGCCTACAATGAACATCCCTCTCTCCCTCTCTCTCTCTCTGTTGAGTTTTCAGAGTCAAATGATGATTGAGGAAAGAAGATTACAAGGCTAAAATATACTGGAGAGAGGGGATTTAAATACCAGAACATGCAACTTTGTTATAAGCCGCTACATTTTTCAACTTTTTCTATAAGAGAACTCAAGGATGCGTCATTGAAATCTTCTGTACTCAAAAGAATATAAGCAGCATGCAGCAGGAGTCACTATGTTTTATTCATAAGATGAAACTTCCAAGAGCACCTTTTCAACAATGTCAGCAAAGATCTAGAGCCTAATTTACAGTACGCAGAACATAGCTTCTTAATCAGCTTCATAAACAAAGAAACAAGGCTGCCAGGAAAATGTGAAGTTATAATAATAGGTTTGGGAAAAGGAATGTTAAAAACGCTTGCCAACCTTGTTAAATGCTAAAATGCACGACTTTTTTGGACTATAAGTTAAGTTTTACTCTGTTGTCCTCATAGGGAACTTGGTGCTCTGCATTTGACCCATCCCCCAATGCCACGAGGACCTCTGTGAGGAGCAGAGGTTGCTGAAGGGACCGCCTCCAGATGTTGATGCTCGTTTTGGTCAGGACCGGAGCTGGAGAATTTAACCTATTGTGCCTGTTTTTAAAAGGTAGGGGAAACCGGAGCACCCTTAGGAAACCTACACAGACACATGCACACTCCACTCAGAAAGGGCCTGATCAGACCGGGATTTGCACCCATGATTAGAAAACACCACTGTACTTGTAAGAAAGAGCCTCATGAGCCACTAGTTCACGCTTTTGTCACGTCTTTTCTGCCAGAAAAAGCTGATCTAAATATGTGACGGTCAACAAATACATGTGAAAACTAGGAATAGAGCCAAACTGTTTTGAGACTGATGGAATTGTTGGACGGATTTTATTAGCAGTTTGAAAAATTAGCTTGACCCCAGTTTTAAGGTTGTGCACAAAGCAACTAATTATGGTGAATAATTAAGATGCAGAGAATGCAATAACACAATAAAAAACCCTTAAAAGCGGCAAACATTTGAAAACTAACTTGTCCACCACACACTCATTTAACCTTTCTAACTCCTGACAGTTCTCTCGCTCATCGATTGTCGGTCACGGGGCAGTTTGGGTTTTGGTGAGTGGGCAGCAGACGTCCAATAGTTTAGGGCTGGGAACAAAACAAGAAGGTCGAGTTCAGAGTTTTTAGAATTATACTTCGCAAAAGGCTTCGCTTCAAAGCAATGCAAAGTTTCTTGGTGAGTGTGACTGACTTTGAAAGCAGAAAAAACCGTCGGAAAAGCCTTTATATAACAGAGCCATGGATTAGTCTCCATCTGTTTGGTCGTTTGTTTCAGCCGACAGTAATTACGCCAGGCCGCTTCTCGCCGCTGCGTTCTGACACTTTAAAAATCGCATTGATCAGCAAAAGGCAAGTAGAGGAAATTACAGGTCAGCATGCAAACAATGATAAAATCGGTTTTGGGGAGGATGAAGCAACGATTAGGGCGAACTCGAAAGACCAAGCAGGACATTGTCACTGATCAACTCCAGTCTGAACCAGAACATGTGACCTGGATTACATGATAAAACCCTATTTTGAGATTATTCACAATCAAAATGTTTATTATTTCAGTAGTGTTGGACTAGTTTTATTCAATTAATGAATTTATTTGGCATGGGTTGTTTTTCAAATTGGAATTTCAACAGTTACATTGGGAGTACCAGACGCACTGATTTTAGGGTTTAGGGAAACTTCAGCACTTTGAGTTGCCTGGTGTATGAATTGTGCTATACAAATAAACTTGCCTTGCCTATATGGTGATAGCAACGCCATGCTAATCTTCACCACTAGTCCACAGGATTACTCCATGATACATAGATCATTTTACTTTATTTTAGATGTTTTTATGTTGCCAATGTGGTAGGATATTGACTTCTCACATTGGAAACATTTATCATCTTTGTATATATATATATACCTATACACATATATACTGTATACCTAACCTTTAAACCACAAAATCTAACTGAACACTAGCCTGGTCGTACCACACCAAAGTACAAATTACATTTCGTACTAAGGTCTGGAGGTGCTCCATTGAGCTCCGTTTACAGTTGGGGGGATTAACTCCTTTTGCAGATTGAAACGATTGGATCTGAGTTTACTGTGACGTTATACAATGCGCCCGAGTGATTCGTTAGCATTTAGCATTTAGCCTCGCCATCTCCTTTGCCGCTAACAGAGCCCGTGGGGAGTAGCGCCACAATTTATTCTAGCGATTACATTTGCAAAACATTCTAATTACTACAGCTTCAATTTCTTGATCTATCAAGAAATTGAAGCCGGGAAGGTCGCATTTTTCGACCTTCCCGTTCGACGCAAACTCTTGACGTCACCCACAACTAACTACAACACCTGCCTTCCGCGCTCGCTGGTAGGTCGGTCGAAATTCAACCGATTGTAATTGCTAACACAGGGACCGGACCCAGACGTTACATGCAGTGAAATGAAGATTGCGCGGAGTGTACGGATGGCTAAGGCCAGGCTAACTAAACACTAGTTTGGTTCTATTATTTGTTTTCACGTCCATGTATTTTTTGCCTTAGTCACATCTTTAAATCAGCTTTTTTCAGTGGATTTTTAGAGTACCAGCCCCCAGCCAATCAGCTCTCAGTATGTAAAAGGACAGTGTTTGGATTTGTTCGCAACAATTAACTCAAACAAGACTCTTTCTGATAGGCCAGAACAATAATCATTTTGAAACCACAAAAGTTAGCTACTCAACTTTCTGTGAAATGTGTTCGAACTGGTTCAGGTTCTTACATAACCAGGAAAATGATATACTAGCAGAGGGAAATTGGTCTATCCAGTCAAAAACACCTCCATCTTGTGACTATCACGTACTGCAGTCCATAAAGTAAAGCCTCTTGAATATCATCTGTCTACTTCCTGTGACAAAATGAAACGTGTCTGAACAATTCCCCAACTTCAGAAATATAGAGGCTTCATTTCAAGTCTTAAAACGGACTTGGCTGCGGCCTGGCACTTTGAGAGAGACCACACGGATCAGCAGAAGCGGTGGGAAATGACAGGTCAGGCTGCAAACATTTGATAATCCAAAACTTCTAAAATGGCAGCCTGAGTGTGAAGGAGTCGGTGTGGCCAACCGTATTGGCTCCGTGATAACTGCTCCAGGACCAGCCGAGCTCGCATCGGATTTTCCAACAGTTGGCGGAAAAAGTAAACTGGAAAAGTGCATCGTTTTCTCACTGGGGTTTTTATTTTTTTTTTAATTATTTTTTTGGTTCTGACTATCCCCGAGGACGGCTGCATCGTTTATGAAGTGTGACAAATATTTATTACTGCTCTGTGCGGGATTGTGATGCATGTTGGCGTGTTTAAAAGAAAGCCAATACGTTGAATTAAGCTCGATTGATTTGGAATGATAGATGAGGTTTCGCTCTGAGGCTGCTGCACCTTCCACGCTCCCACAGGATAGAATCACATCCCACTCGATGCAAAGGGTGGGCAGTGCTCAATAAACTCATATCTTAATCTATTTTACAATTCTAGCCGTATTATTGGGAATTAAAATGACCCTGGGGTAGGGTTGTGTGCCTACCTCTTCTCGTATACTCCTTTTGGGACAGATTATGTTTCTCACAGTCTGCATTTTTACCTGCTTTATCATGTTTTATTACTTATTATGTGATCATAGGGCCTGGTTCACACGATTTTAAAATTGTCGGCCGATTTTTTTCTCTGTGTGAGACCGCACACGGAGATAAAAAATCAAGGGTCTAACAACTTTGGTCGTACAGTGTGTGGTGCGCAGCCACACGGCAAAAATCACGTAAACCACACACATCACACATGAACCGATTTCTGCCCCGAGCATTCCCAAATCAGACGGAAATCTCACAAAATCTCGAGATCAAGCGTGACTTCAGAGTAAACAATCATGGCGGACCAAGAGGATGCAGTTTCGATAGTTTGTTTTTATCTGAGAAAAGACATAATCAAAAGAAAAGGCGATCACAGAAGTGTAGACAACACGATCATGGACTGTACTTCTACATCGTGATGTGGAGGTGAGATGGTTTTTTTACGGCGTCTCCTCGCCGGCTCGTCTAGTCTTCTGATTGGCTACACGCCGCAGTCATGGCAACGCGCTCGTCTGTCCTCGGGGGACATCACACACGAGGAGAAATCT